TGGATTCTTTTTGCTTTTTGAATTTCCAGTTGGGTATTTTTTGCTTCTTTATATTTCAAATATTTGACTTGATTATTGGAATCCTCTAGTCTGCTGTTGGATCTCTGAATAATATTCTTTATTTCAGTCAGTGTATGCTTAATTTCTAGTTGGTCCTTTTTCATATCCTCTAGGGTCTCACTAGATTTCTTGAGGGTCTCACTAAGTTTATTGGCAGTTTCTAGAAAATTCTTGAAAAACCTTATAAGTGTAGTTTTGAGCTCTATATCCAGCCATTTGCTTTTTCCATTTCTGTCATTTGTGACCTGTTTCTTTGTGTCTGCATTTTTTATGCTTCCCTGTGTTGGTAGAGTGGCTTTGCGTGCTAGTTGTCCTATAGGGCCGAGTGGCTCAACCTCCCCAATTACCTGAGGTGGACACTCTTGGTGCACCCCTTTGTGGGCTGTGTGCACAGTCTTGTTGTATTTAAGCCTTGATGGTTGTTGGTGTCATTGGGTGGAACTGATCTCTAGGCCAATTGGCTGTGAGGACCAGTTGTGTCTACAATGGGAGAACTTCTGTGCTGGAGACACCCTTATGGGGCAGGACTTGCTTCTATGGGGCTTTGGTGCTCACTGAGTCTGCCCAGGTTTTTAGGGGGAAAAGGCCAGGCCATTCATATGCCAAAGCCCTGACATTCCGGGCCCGAGGCCAGACAGTCCAGTTTCTCTCAGTATGAGTCTGGGTCCCCAAATTCTCACCCGGAACTGGAGTTCAGAGCAGTCGGGAGCTTGTGTCTCCCTCCGATTGAAAAAGACAACAGCATACCCAGCTGCCAGCCCCTTTCGCCCGACTCCTTACCTCCACACTTCCACACCTCTGCACCTCCTACCAGACTCAGTGTGCTTTTCTCTTTCCTTCTAGTTGTAGAATTTCCGTTCAGCCAGCCTTCCCGTGGTTCTGGATGGTATTCGTTTTGTCTTTTAGTTGTAATTTGAATGTGGTTGTGCGTGGCAGCAAATTCAGGTGTTTACCTATGCCGCCACCTTGGTTCTCTCTCGTTTTCTTTTTTGTTGATTGGTAGTAAGCTATTATTCCTATAATGAATGTCTTATAAAAATATTTTTCTTGACTGGGACTTTAATAATGACTCTGGTTCTCTTGTTGAAACTAGTTGAGAATGATAAAGATTTTTTAAAAGAAAAGAAAGTCTCATTGCCATGCCTGCAATTGGTCTGATGTTCTCAGACTCCCTAGGTTGTTTGAAATTCCAGGCCCCTTCAAAGATGCAGGGGGAATATACAAACATTCAATTTCTGAGAATGAGATTTAAATATACTGACTAACCTACTCTTCTTTCCTCTCATGGAATCACAGCCTAGTGGAAGAAGTGGAAAGCAATGATAATCAAGTGTGATATGGACTAAGATGTGGATTGTACATCTGCTATAGGGTCCCCTTCAGTGGATAAAATAGCTACTCAAACAAGACGAGAATGCCATTTGAGAGTGAGGTTGAGATTGTATTCCAACAAATGGGCTGCCGAAACACACCTCCAAGGCTGTCTCTCACACAAAATCCCGAGACTTTTGTTCTTTATAAGATGTTCATAAGCATCAGCTATTTCTTTGTATTGAATCTCATGGTAAACTTCTTTGCCAGGAACTATTTTTATATTCTTTATTGCTTATATTCATGACAATAACACATCCTAGAAATATCTTCTAGAATAGATACTATAAATTAGGAAGGGTATTACCTCATTTAACTCAAAATAGATAATTTTATTGCCTAATTTATTAATATTTGGTAACCTGATTTAATAATCATGACCATTCTTAAAATCATAAAAGGAACCTTTTAATAAAACCATAAGATAAATAAAATTAAACAATGGAAAGTGGAGTAGATTAAACACTGAAGAAATGAAAGAACAGCAGTTCTTTGCTGTATAATCAGTTACCAGGTTCTTTTTCCAGAAAAGACATCAAAATGATATGTTCTTAAAGTTCTTTTTTATTCTTCTCTAGGTATTAGATATAATTCCTTGCATTATGAGATATGTTTTTCTCTTAACAAGAACCACAGTTGATTATTACGTAATGGACCAATCTGTTTTAAAAAAAAATCCTTTGGGTAAATGTATTAGACATGCAGTTTTGATTCTTGCATGATCTTAAATATATTTATTGAACTCACCTGGAAATAATGGTAAAGAGACACATCAGCCTCTCAATAAGATCATTTTTATAGCCAATCAGACAGTATTTTTTACAACAATCTTAATAGGAAATTGAAAAAGAAAAATGTGAAAGAAACCAAGATTTTTAAAAAATATTTGTAATTGCTATTTTATTACTAATTTTAGAACTAGAATAATGTGAAAGGAAATCGTGATTGCAAATGTTAATTCTTAAACAGAGCTACATTGTTGATTAAAGCTACCATTGTTCATGTGTGTTTTCACATAAAATATGTGCAATGTGAAAGTGGAAAGTATTTCATAGTGTTTCTGGCTAGATGGATGTGCTAATATCCGGGTCAGCACACATGCCCCCATTCAGCAGCTCTGAGTGCACTGTGATGTTTAGGAATGATGTTTTGAGAGGTGGAGCAAGAGGTCTGCCCTCCCATACACAAAAGTACAGTCCTAAGCAACCAGATGATAATTACTCATTTCTATTACCATTGCTTATAAAAGAATAAGCTATTAGTTGTAGAAAAATTACATACATGCATGGTGTGTACTAGGAGAAATGACTGGGGACCATAAATATTACTAAGTACTTAGACTACCCTAGTGTCATGAAATTATAGGTAAGTACTATAAAAGCTTAGCCTCTAAAATCAACCTTGCCCAATAAAAGACAATACCATTTTTATTATGCATTTTTATATCTTGCTACCTATAGATTGTATATGAAGCTTACCTTCATATCAAGTCCACAGATTCTAAGTGAATAAGGAGTGGGTCAGAATGGAGAGCAGGACAAGTAACATTCTATAATAATCCCATGCCCATACCTTCTGGTGTCATTCTTTTTTATTTTCAGTCCTTCACATCCTCATGGCCTTTTGTTTACTGTTTCTTTTATTTGCCTATCCTGATGCTATTTCTCAGGCAGAAAGTATCATCTGTTTGTTATCCATGATATTAAAATATTGAAGTAATTCTCAATAAATATGTGTGTGGCATAAATGAAATTTGCATTAGCGAGTTAAAATTTACCTTTGTAAAATTCTTGTTTAAAAAAATAAATTTGGAATTAATAAATTTGGGGGAAAGAGGAAAGCGGTTTCAAGCTGTTGAGAGGTTCTAAAAAAGATTCTCTAGAGGTCAACATTGACAACACAGTACACAGTCTTTTTTTTTTTTTATCTTGCTCTATCGTGGTTAAGGGGACACATTTATCTTTCCTTCTTTTAAAGACATTTAAAAGCACCGTTCTGGTTTCACAGACAGCGGTTTCGCAACATTCTAAAGACCTTCAGTCAATCATAACCCCGAAGAGGAAAGAGAGGGTTAGTTTTCACTTAAGTAAAGTTTAGTGAAAAGCAA